TTTCAGATCTCGGACTTTGTGCATGGGAGGCTTTGGGGTTTGGGGATTTAGAGACAGAGCGTTCGGATTTGAGAGGTCGGGGATTGGTAAGTTACTCGTAGGACAGAGGGATGCGGCTTAAGGATCTGAGTTCTGAAGTGCAAGGATGGAAGGGTCCCCACCCTAAACCCTAAATCGTAAACACAAAAACAGAAACAACGCAGTAAAACCAAGAAGCAACGACCCTGAACACTGCATAACCCCTAGACACCTTCAAGTGCTTTCAAGAGTAGGGCGTCGGGCTTAGGCTACTTGGGTTTAGCGTTTAGGCTGTAGCTTCAGGGCCTAAGGCAACAAAATCATGCTGATCCGCTCCTCTAGACAATCTCTGAGGGTATCAACCAACGATGCCATGAACCAGACAAGCACCCCAATGGTTCTCATTCGATCCTAGGACCTTGCAGCTTCAACCCTAAACAGCCCAACTCACCCCCAAATCCTGAACCCCGAAACTCTGTAACCCTAAACCCTAAACCCTAAAACCCCAAAGCCCCAGCCCCCAAGCAAGGAGCGAAGGCCCCGAACCCTCAACTGCCGCCATGTGGCAAGCGCTTGCTGCCCAACTTCTCGATTCTGCTTCCCAGGCTGTGAGCCTCGAGCCCATGGACATGAGGAATTGTGCGCAAGAAACCCATGTCCAAAGCATGGGGTGGTTTAACCTTACAATAAGACAACCGCAGACCAGAACCCAGATGTAATCAATGTAATCACAAACCGCGTCTTTTGGAGTATTTGCGGCATGCTCAGCTAGATCGGGGCCCCCAATGTGAGATGAGCTCAGCCGAATTGAAGGGTCCTGACACGAGCATTGCTTGAAAGGTCAGAGATCCAAGTGGGTCGTTACCGTACGAAGCAGTCGAGCAGCAGCATCAGCAGGTTCTAGTGCATTCGCTTGGGAACCATCACAATGCATGCATCCTTCGGCCACGAAAATATCAAGTTTCCGGCTGTTTGTCGCAGCTTCACCTCCTGGAAGCTTCGCGAAGCCGAGATGCGCGCCTGGCAGAGTCATCCACTCCCCCTACCTCCGTTTCAGAACAATCTCGAAGATCCGTCCCTCGGAGCCGTCAATGGCAGGAGGGCCTCACGTCGAGACGCGCGTTCGTCGTTCGCCTGCTACGACATTCCCATATGGTAGATTCGAGACATGCTCGCAAGCTTCGACTCTGAAAGCGGGTGAGGACCGGGCGAATCTTATCCACGCTGAGATGCAGCGAAGACCTGAACAACCGATGCTCCCACTGGCCATGCCACTGGCATAGACAAAGAGACCTTTCTAGTTCTGTCACGCAGACGCGAAGCCGATACACGATGTTTCTCTGCTGGCAGTCCTCACGAATTCTGGCATTGCTGCAAGACTTGATGGACGTAGTGTCACTCCTCAGTGATGTCAGCTCAAATTCTCCGACGCTGAGGATGCGGCACAGCACAAACTGGATTTCCGATCGCAGACTAACCGCTGCCTGCTGCAAATTCAGAACGAAGTCTCTGCGCTCGTCAGACTCTCGCAACCGCGTTTGGCATGGCTTCCGGCTAGTGCCTTTCCGTGAAGAGCATCGCAAATAGTGGAGCTTCGCAACCCCGTAACAGTCTTGCTGCCGCGCCTGCTTGCTTGCGCCGAGCTCGACAAGGCCGCTCAAGGCCTGCATCGCTGTTGGTTACACTCTGGAGGCTAGAGTTGAAACCTTCTAGCGTTTTTGCTTTGATTCCAGGCTTTGCGATCAGGGTGTTGAATCAGCCCATGGTATGGCTAGCGATCGGACTTTTGGGTATCAACTACTAGACGCCTCGATGAGCATGGACCATAGTAGAGTTAGGTTGCAGCCGAGCAGCATTGCACGAGAGCTGCCCGGCTCTTAGACCCTCGAGCTACGAACGGGAGGAGGAGCTACGAGTACCATGGTTTTATGGCTTAGATTGCTACTCCAAGGTTTGCAAGCAGATGCCGCAGTCTTTCAGGCATGAGGCGCTCGAGATCTGGACAATTCAGATAAGCAGCGGGTGCGTCAAAGGGTTTCGGGTTTTCGTTCAGCCGGAAGTGGCTGAAACTCCCCACTCACGAATCAGCAGAATAACTAAGAAGATGCTCGTGTGGCAAGTGAGTCCTTCGCCATCCAGTCATGCCGACGCTTTCTTTATCGTCCGGTGATTTCGTTCGGGCGGTCGGTGGGCGCGAGAGCTGTACATGAAGCAGCTGTGCCAGCATGACGGTTGTTGAAGTAGTCCAGCAGCCAGGCAGCACTAGGCGGAAAAAGCTAAACCCTAAACCCTAAAGGTCGCCAACCTCACAGCCTCTTCGGACAGGTGCGCGAATGACTCAGCAACACATGGATCAGGAGCAGGCGCCCAGCGACGCTGCTATTGCCATGTCTAGTACCTTTGCAGAGATCAAATATTGCTCTGGGTTTGACTCGGGCTTGACTTTTCACAGTGAGAATTTGCAGCACGGACAGGGGCGGCTGCAGGAATCGCGAATTCGCCGCCCCCCCCCCTCCCAAACCCTAAACGAGGTGCTGTCTTCTTCTCCTCAACGTTCAGCTCTGCCCGCAAGGAATGCAGCTCCTGATGGCAATAAACATAACAAGATATGATATGATATCGTGACCTCTTATATCATGTAGCATCGCATAGCATAGTATAGCATAGCATAGCATAGCATAGCATAGCATCATCTCATAGTATAGTATACCATACTCTACTAACAACAGAGTCCCGCAGCCCTGGCCCCAAACTTGGCAGATAGCCTTGGAGCCAGAAAAAAAACAACGACTACGGTTGATGATATGAATCCTGCATTACCCATACTAAGGAATATACCATAATTCCCTTGGTTTAGGGTCCTTAAGCTAATGCAGGATTGATATCACCAACAGTAGGTCGGCAATAAATAGAAGTAGTAGCTTCTGATAAAAAAAACAGTAGTTAGAAGCAGTAGTAGCAGTGGTGGTAGTAGCAGTGGTAGCAACAGTAGACATGACAATCGGAACAATAAATAGTACTGGCAAAGAGGTAGTAGGAGTAGAAGTAGTTGTTGTTGTTGTCGTAGTGGAAGTAGTAGTGGTAGTAGTAGTAGTAGTAGTAGTAGTAGTAATAGTAGTAGTACGAGGAGGAGGAGGAGGAGGAGTAGAAGTAGAAGTAGAAGAAGTAGTAGCAGCAGTATCTATGGTACGAGCATCAACAGCAGTGATTCAAAGGTCCATGCTGGACTTCTGCGCCTCACGTTGTACTGGCATGGTCGGAGGTCGCATGTCTGCAGCATGAAGACCAAGTTTCGGGAGAGCTGCAGAAATCAGTGAGACTGATATGAAACGCAAGAACTTAACAGGGCTGAAACAGCATACATGGGCCCCCACCCCGTCTCCGTGAATCCACGAACCCCGGCTCCTTGGCCAAGTTGACGCCTGCCACACAGCGCCAGAACCCCAAAGTTTAGCTACTGTCCGGCAGCATGGAACTGCTAGCGGCCTCAGGGACCTCAGCCACAAGAATATAATACATCACAGAGAGACAGAGAGAGGGATAGAGGGAATATGCACACATACATATATCTAAATTATATATGTATATATAAACACATGTACAGGAAAGTAGAGAGACAGGATAAATAGACGGATAAAACAGGTTGTGACAGACTGGGTAGATAGATAGACCGACGGACGGACAGATAGACAGATAGATAGATAGACAGACAGACAAACAGATTAGGTCCGATTAGGTACCTGCCACAATCATGGTCGCTTTCGGGAGCCCTATGTTAAGTCTACTCTTACTACGGCACCATACAATTTGGGAACCACAAAAGAGACCCTAATTTGGACGACGGCTCAGATAGATAGACAGATTGACAGATAGAGAGAACGACAGGAAGACGGACAGACAGGTCGAGATAGAGAGAGGCGTAGACGGGCACAGGACATTTTCTCAGTGGTGTTCTTATGGTCGTATGAAGTCGGACACTCGAAACACGAACAAGGATAAATTGACGGAGACACAGCTACAGATGCAGAGCAACAACCATAAGCTTTTATCCCTACGGCTACGACCCTCTCAAGCATGCTTCGTCACAGGAGGGATCCGGCATGGTCATGCCATGAACCCAAAGAGCCCAATACCTCCTAATTAAGGAATATACCTGACATGATAATATTAAGGCCCCTATAATTCAAGGAGTATATTACTTTTGGGTATTGGGTTCTCTGGGAGCCCCCCTGCTTGCGCCTTGTTGCCATTGGCTGACATCCACTAGGCTGCCAAGGGCATGGCCCAATGCCAGCCCTTCCGCCTGCGCCAAGCAGGCACAAAGTAGTTGAAGATTGGGAATCTTTGCAGAAGGAAACCATGTTGATGGCAAATATGTAGGAGTTCAGGGGAAGCCACTTCCACATTGCGACAGGATCGGCGCCACAAAAACATCTGGGACTACAAGTGCGTGCAGGATCGAGGACCTGGGATTGCAGCATAACACATTGCTTTTAAAGGGCAATGACATCGGCTTCACGCCGGCAAAAACAAGTTTTTTGGCTAACTGCCACTGCTCATCGCGAGCATCGGTCGAGTCTACTACGAATCGAAAGCTGTCGCAAAACCAGCCAGCACCACGCAGGCAATGCCTACATGTACTGCTGAAAAGTGCAAAGCATCTGCATCTGGAAATCTGCAAGTCCCGAACAAAATTCCTAGCACTGTGATTCCGTTGTGCTTGCAAGTCTAGCAGTCTAGCAGTTGCAGATGAGTGGAGTCCGCGAGGAAGCGATCTTCAAAAACAGTGGAAACGCTGGTGCCCCACCAAAAAAGTGGAAATCACCAAAAGGTCGGCCGCCTGGCGGGCGGCCGATCTTCAAATGGGTTCTTGAAACAAGCCGGAGCTCGGAAACCAAGGCACTGAATTCAGGGTTAAAAAGATGAGATGCTTAAGAGTCACTTGTGGCAGCATCGACACACTCACTTGCAAGCTGCTTCTCCTAGCTAGCCTGCACGAGCCTTTCACTAAGATCCCACAACTTGCGGCAGCGTGCGTCATCAGCAGCCTCTCCACCGATCTCATCGATGGAGAGCGTGCGGAAGCTGCCATAGTTCATGAACCAATCCAGCTCCTTGTCCTTGTTCTCCACCGCGTCCTTACCTCCGCTTCCTCCCGTTCCTGCCTCGCCGCCCCAGCTGTAGTAGGAGCCGGAAGTGGCGTACCTCTCGTCTGACACCTGGGATGAGAAACGAAGGGGCCCATTGGAATCCCTAGATGTGTCCTAGCGGCTTCATGCAGCCAGGTCGCACATGCTGCAAGGCGCTTGCCTGCTTCCTCTTGGCTGACATAGGCCTTGGTGACAGATTTGTGGAAGGCAGGGAAGAGGTGCTGGAAGAGTGGGTAGTGTTCACGGAAGAGCCCCGTCTCGGCGATGCATCCCGGGTAGAGGGAGGTAAAGACAATGCCCGTGTCGTTGTGATATCGGCGGTGCAACTCCTTCATAAGCATCACATCACAGACCTTGCTGTCCTTATACGCCTTCGCGCCATTGAACTCATGGGCATCAAGCATGGACACTGGCGCCTTCATGCCCTTTTCCAGACCCTCGAAGTTCCCCACGTGTGCAATTGGGGGAATCATGCCTCCCAACTCCGCGCCGTTCACAGTGGCCGTGACCGTCCCAAGGATGATGCAACGTGCAGGCTTTACCGTGCTGCGCTTCAGGTCCTGGAAGGCTTTCAGACATGATCTGACGTGTCATGGCCTGCGATGATTTGAGGTGATAGGATATGAGATGTCATCGTATGTAATGGTTATGTAGTGCGACTGGTAAGTGGTCATGCAGGTGGTAATGCACGGTATGGTACGGTGTGGATTGCCATGGTAGGATGTATGTTATGGTATGATATGATATGGTACGGTATGATATGGTATGGTACTAGTATGGTATGACTGGGATGGGATGGTATGGAACGAGTATGCTATGGATGGGATGGGATGGTATGGTACGTGTATGGTATAGATGGGATGGGATGGGATGGGATGGATGGTTTTGTATGGCATGGTAGAGTATGGTATGGCCTGATATGCTATGATATGACCTACGGATTTTGGCAGGATACACTGCGGATACAGATGTAACACTAGCGGAGAGAGAAGATGACATGCTGCATTATTATATAATGTCATCCTCAAGGTCTCTAGCGGGTCATGTCGGACCAAGAGCAAGCGGGTCCCGTCCTCCAGGAGGAGCTTGCAGAGCAGGAAATGGCCCAAGTAGTTTGCCGCGAAGCTGAGCTCGTGGCCATCGGCAGAGTAGCGAGGCCCTTCTCCCGCGAAGAGGCCTGGGAGGAAGATGCCGGGCTTGTGCGCGTTGGGGAAGTACACCGCCGCATTGCACACCAGCGCATCCAAAGGCCTGCCCAGAGCGTGGAATGCATCCACAAAGTGGCGAACGCTGCGGTTGGAGGCCAGGTCGCAGTGGAGAACTTCGTAGGAGTCTTCGAACATACCTGCTTCCTTCGCCGCCTTCTCTGCCTTTTGGAAATCCCGGCAGGCCATAATAACATACCAGTCCCCCGTTGCTGCTAGCTCCTTGGCTGCAGCAAGGCCGAGGCCCGAAGAGGCCCCGGTGATGATCACCGTCTTCTTGTCGGGCGGTGCCATGAAGGGCATCTGAGGCATCTGGATGGAGAACCGACGAGCCGTCATCTTGGCCTTTCTTGTCTTGCGCTGCTGGGCGAGGCCGGCAATCCCGGCGATCCCAGCGATTCCGGCCAAGGTAGACTGGGTTGCTCCGAGCTGCACGCTGCCATGCGCAGATTGCTTGGTGGATTCCACCAAGCTCTGTGCTGGCAGGCGGGCGACCGGAGTCGGGGCCGTTGCGACGAATGCTGGCGCGAGCATTGCGATCAAACAAGCGGCTCTGTGCAAGACGGCTCTCAGCTGTGCTCCGAGCTGTTCACACCAAATGGCTGCAACACAGCAAGATCTTTGCGCGGTTCATTGCGCCTTTTCAACTTCGGAAGGCATCAGGCTTCAGCACCCAGGAGCAGCTGAAGAACTTCATGCACTCGCAAAGAGGGAACTCTGGGCCTGGCCTGCAGAACCTGAGCTGACTCCATCAGGAGCAGCAGCGCCCACCTGAGCAAAAAAGCGACCCAAAGCCCCTTGACCCGGCTCCGGACTGCGATTGTATTACAATATATTCTATTATCTTATATTATATTCTATTATATTCTATTATATTCTATTATGTTCTATTATATTATATTAAATTATATGGTGACTGACTGAACTGACTTTGAGGTCGAACTGGCTGCGGTCCAGCAGCCCCCAGCGAGACTCACGACAAGCAGAGATGGCTGCATTGACCTCGGAGCGGCAGTCAGCTTGGAGGATCACGTGCTGCATGCAATCCTGCGGGTTCAGGGTTTAGGGTTTCGGGTTTAGGGTTTAGGGTTTCGGGTTTAGGGTTTAGGGTTTAGGGTTTAGTCTGGGTATCTACACAGGATGCATAAGTTTGTCTAGACTCTAGACTCTTCAGGCATTGCAAAAATACTCACAGCCCAAAGCCTCTTATGCAAGTTAGAGGCGAGCAACTTACGACTTGGCTTATGTACAGCGTCTGTTTGTGTGTGTAAATAAAAAGTATACATGAATGAACGAATACATACATACATCAACGCATAATTCAACAAACAAATACACAAGCAAATAAACAAATAAATACATAAATATCTACATATGTATTTACACGCATGTATATACACATATCCAATTTCTATTAACATATGTATATACAAGAGTAAACAATAAATACATATGTGAATTTATTTATATACACTACATATTAACATATGTATTTGTTCATACTTTACACACGCACAAGTGAGTGCATGTATGTGCTGCCGCTGTCCCCCTACCGAACACTAGCCGACACCGATCCTGACGCAGGGTTGCTGTTCAGGAACTTAAACTAAGTTACTGTAATAAGGAACCCCTGTTATTTCCCCAATATCCCCAGTATGGCAACTTAAACTAAGCTCCTTCACAGCCCAGGATGGGTAAGGCGAGGGCTGCAATTGCGTTCGAGCAGAAACCTTTGCTGCTCGCCGAGAGAAGCCAATCCAAGGCCGGCTGCCACTCCTGCACATGGGTAGTTCTCTGAAGTAGGATCCCGTTTTGGGGGTTCCGATTTAAGGAGTTCCGTTTTAAGGGATCTGTACGGGTTTCTATACCGATACTATATGGGTGGTTCTCTAAAGTAGGGTCCCTTTTTTTGGCGCCAACATGGTACGGCACCCTTGTACAAAAGGGACCCTAGCTTAGAGAACTATCCACATGTCACAACGTAGGGCTGCAAGGCTTCAGGGTTTTCAGGGTTGGGGGTTTAGGGGTTTCGAGATCCGGGGTGCTCAAGCTTATTTCAACCCTTTGGAGCTTTGGGGTTTTGGGTGGAGGGCTCTTGAGTGTGCTATCTGGGGTCTCCTAGGGTTTTGGGGAGATTGCAGCCTGTGGGACTGCCGGACCTGAGATGTGCACAGAGCAGGAGCAGCTACGTCTCCAGCCGGAAGACCTAGGGTTTAGGGTTTAGGGTTTAGGGTTTAGGGTTTAGGGAGCAGCTGCACACCCTACATCCTGCATCTTGGAGCAAGCATTGACCAGCCCGCCGTAGGCGATCGCCTGATCATTCGCGGGGGGATGGGGCTGGAGGCCTGTGCTCTCCAGGGATGTGGGGCACCTCTTGATCCTTCATCGGTGGCTACAAGTAACAGTAGGGTTCACCCAGGGTCCGTCTGGGGCTTCTGGCTTCGAGGTACCTGAGCAGCTCTACAGCTTCATGCTGCTACAGCCCGTAAAAAAGATACTGATAACCCTACTTATACCTTACTTGAAGGCTACAAGTTGTGTCTCCGCAATACGACAGGCAGTCTCCGTCACAGCGGCCGGAGTAGCGCAAGGCCACATTCAATCAATCACACTGCCAAGTTTCTATCTGGACGGGCCCTAAACACTAAACCCTGAAGGAAGACATTATGGTATACGATGGTACATTATAATACATTATGGTATATTGCGGTATAATGAGGGGTTTGGAGTTCGAGGGATTAATGTCTCGTGCTTGAAAACACGCTCGAGATGCTCGAGTTTCGAGCCTGAGGCGTTGACAAGGCTTGAAGAAAAAAAGCGTTTTTTCAAACACCTATACACTACGACTGGATTTTGAAAAAAAAACAGTTGAGAAAGTCTGGGACCTTTGGGATTTTGAAAAGTTGAAGTTGGGAAAGTCTGTAACGATTGGGATGCTCCCCGGAGAGGCCAGGGAAGGCCACGGAAGCCACCTCCCGGGGCTCAAGACCGGAGTTTGAAAGTGGGGGAAGCCCGAGATTGAAAGCTTGCAAGCTCGGAACCGTTCTAAGGTTTGACAGCTTCAAAATTCGAAAGTTGGGGAAGTCGACAGAATTGAAGTTTCGAAAGTCGGAAACTTGAACGTTTGACAGACTTGGAGATGGTTAGTTCTGTTAGGTCGGAGACTTCGAATATTCAGAGGCTGCGAGTTTGGGGCACAAAATGACGGTTTGAGAGTTTCAACATGGACAGCTTGACTTTGAAAGCTCGAAAGTGTAGAGAATGAGGGGCTTGAAGTTGGACGCCCGCTCCCCTGCTCGCACCAATGTGTCGAAACCTAACCCTCAAACCATCAAGCGTTCAAGGCTGAAGCTTTCCGGCTTCAAACCTTCGAACGAAAAGAAAAAAATCGCTCGAGGCTCGATTCCGAGATGTCCGAGCCCAGGACGATTTGCTAAAAGAAGCCGCTCCGGTACACTCTGAGGTTCGGAGCCAAGCTGGGCACACATAGACCCCGGGTAGACCAAACTAAGTTCAATGCGCCCGACAACTTCGAAGTGCGGATGCCTCTGCAGCTCCACTGACTGAAACAAAGCACTCTGAAAACCCCAACCAACCGGGATTGTGCTGACCAAACTGCTGCTACCCATTGCCTCGTGTTGCACGGACTGCTCCTCCAACCGCGAAAGCAGATGGCTCGCTGCCTGCCTCGAGTTGAAGTTTGAAGCCTTACTTGTAACTTCTTATATCTTCTTATCCATCTGCTTTCCAGCCTTCGAAGCTTCTGCTTATGGGAAGCATCTGGTCGCATAGCATCTCTTATCGGGGAGGGCCCTTTGATGCTTCGGGATCTGGGAATTCAGTGTGCATGTTCCTCTGCTGTGGCTGTTCATTGCCAGGTGCAGTAGCTTTTCCCATGCTGGCCTCAGCTGTATCAATAAAAAACACAACAGACGCTGCCTCCTTCCCAACGCAGCCAATGCAGGCGCGACGGTGCTCCCGGTAAACTGGTCTGGTGCCAAGCGCCTGGTGAATGCGCTTTCCAAGCCTTTTGGCAAAAGACACCGAAAACCTCGGGGTAAAAAGCACTCTTATAGAAACCCTATAGAAAGCCTTACAGATCCCCGTAAGGAACCCGAATGGCCGGGCCTCACATCCATCTCCTCGAAGAGGCTGACGCACACTTCCCACATCCCAGCTCTTTCGCATGCACACATGGCCGCCTTGCTGAGGGAATTAGGCTCCAGTCCTAGCTTCTTGGATTCGAATCCATACATAACTGTGCTTGCTGCTAGTTCGTACTACGACTACATGAACCTGCTGGCCCAAAGGAAGAGCTTAGGGGCTGAGTACCCTAGCCCAAAAAAGGTTAACCTTTGGAATTATAGTAGGGTTATAAGAGCCCCAAAAGGTTACAGGTTACCTACTCAGCCACTAAGAGAGTCTGCTCTCCCTGCGCCGAGCAGCATTGTAGGCGACCGAATTCATCTGCAGGGTCTCAGCCCCCAAGTGTCCCAGCAGGGCGAGGGCTTTGCTCCACTCGGCTGCTTCGGAAAATGCCGCCAGAACCTCAAAGGCTTGGGGCTAAGAGGCACTTTTGGGGGTGCAGGGTATGACAGCTGGCCAACACATTTCTTGGGTAGCCATGCTAGACAAGATGCCCCGCCATAGGCGAAGATGTTCGAAGAAATTCGGAGCCACACCAAGTCTGCGAACAGCTGCAATGCCTTTTGCCATTGCCCGCTTTTGCCACACGCATTGATAGTGGAAGAATAGGTGATGATGTTGCTCCGCAGCTGCTCATGTTGGAGGCTATCCAGGAAAAACAGAGCACGCTGCCACTGGCCGTCATGCTCACCTCAGAGCACACGCAGTACACGAAATCACTCCCCACGCCTCCCACCGGCCACAACTCAGAAATCCAGTATCCGAGTCACATGCAGCAATGGCCGCGTTGTGAGCTACAAGGCTGCTCTCCAGCCTGCAAGCCCGCGTTAGCTCTCTCGAAGAAGAAGCTCCCATCGAACACTTTCGGCCTTTCGCGCTCCTACAGTAAAAGAGAGTAGAGAACCTTTCGTAAGCTTCCAGCCTCGAAAGCTGCATCGCTGAGAGCCTCACAGGAAGCAGACGAAGAAACTGCCCCTCCCCTCGGCCTCGTGCCCTGCGAAGCAACTCTCCGTCGCTCGGCTTTAGGAGCCTGCAGCCCAGCTGCAGCCAGATCGCCACTTGCCAAGCGCTGCCTTTGGCGCAAGAGCTGATAACCGCACTGTACATGAACGCGTTCCTGAGCAGCGCTCGACTTTGAAAGAGGGTGTGGGTAGAAGCATAGGGAGTTAGGATGCCCGTTGACCCCCTCCAGGGTAGGGAAGCGCAGACGCTGTTTCTATGCATGCGGAAGCATCGACCGGGATGCTTGTTTTCTGTGACTGTCACTCTTCCTGCTACGAGCTTCTCTCCTTGCTGTCACTACGCAATGCTCGGCGAATCCTAGCTCCGAGAGTCGTCTCGACCCGCGTCTGCGACGAAGGCAGCGTCTGGAGAGCCGCCTCCCACTGCGCTGCCTCTTGGCACGCACCTGAGCACTCGAAAAGCGAGCCAGGGCCCTGCACGAGAAGCCCGTGATACAAGTAACTCCCGCCCTGGCGCTGATGGCGGTGCCGAAGCTGTGGCTGCTCCCCACCGGGGGCAGCATCAACAAGGACTGCAGCCAGCGACCACCAGCCCTGCGTGGACAACCCAGGTCGGATCAGGGTCGCAGGCGGGAGGAACTGCACATGAACCAAAGACCGCAGATTGCTTCCGAGGGCACCCGAAAGCTGCCATGGCCGCATTGCAGGCAACCAGGTCGCTTTCCACCTACATCGACACTGCAAGACAGGCAGGAGCACTGAAGAGTGGTCCCTGCCTGTCGGCTCTGCATCCTTTCGAAGATGGCGACGGCATCTGGCCATTGCTCGCCTGGCCCGGAACGCTGGCAGTCGAGCTCGATGCTCCAAACCCAAAAGCCCACAGCCGCTCTCCAAAGGCCATCCCGCCTCGAGTGCAGGCCGTAATGGCTGCGCTGCACCTGCGGTACTGGCAAAACAGATATCAGCTTCGTCAATAAGGCCTTTCAAAGCCGAAGCACACCAGGCTTGCCGCAGGGCAGTCGGATCCACTGATCAAGTCGCGCTTTTCAAACTAAGGCACACGATCGCGTTGTGTCGGAGCTGCTCGCTGGCCATCTCGGTCCTTATCACCCAGTTCGGTACGGTGCTCCAGCATAATATATATATATATATATATGTATATATAACCCAGTCTGATGTTTCAACTGGCTCTTGCGCAGGCTCTCTACGCGCCTGGACCTGTCTCGGGATGCGAAACACTTTGCCACTGCAAGGAATACGAGCTGGCCGACGACTGACGAAGAAAACCCACAAAGGACCTCTTGATACGAACCAAACCTGCCTGCCCAAGCTCCAACCGTTGGAAGCCCCTTCGAAGAAGCAACTGTATGGCCAGTCGCAGAAGCCACAGCGCTAGTTGCCAGCGCCGGGCAGAGGCGCAAACCTCTGTGAAATAAAACATGAACATGGTGATACCGGTGAGGATGGAGATGAAGAAGACTACTAACAATATGATGATGATGGTGATGATGATCTTGATGATGACGGTGATGGTGATGGTGATGGTTTTGATGACGGTGATGATGATGATGATGGTGATGACGCTGGTGATCATAGTGATCATTGATCACTACCATCATGGATATTAACACATAATCATCATCACCAACATTAGCGCGTCGCCATCGTCATCGTCGTTGTGGTAATGCAGGCGACAATGATGAAGGTGGTGATGGGGATGCATGATGATGACGCATGATGATGCATGATAACGCATGATGGTGAATGATGCTGATGACGATGCATGAGGATGATGATGCCGATGATGATGTATGATGGTGCATGATGATGCACGCTGGACGACGATGGCGATGGTAGGGGCAACAGGATGATGAGCATGATCCGATATGGCATGGAAAGGTCTGGCGTACATGATATGACATCGCATATGACATGTGGCATATGATAATGGATATGATATATGACGAATGAAATATGATTTCTGACACATGATGCATGGTAAATGCTATGTCTATCTGCTCTATGATATGACCTTGTAACAAGCCTCGTACGATGTGATACGACATGATCTGACCTGACACGGTATGGCATAATGTGATATGATATCACATGGTATGATGTGATGTCTTGTGATGTGTCCTGATGTGGTGTGATATGGCGGGACATGATATGCTATGATATGATCTGAAATGTGATGGCATGGATATGACCTGGCATGACATCTCATGACATGACATAATACGATCGAAATTATGTTATATCATATGTCATGGCATGCTGTCATGCCTGTGGAGCGATGGCAGCAGCTGCAATGAAGTAAGAAGTAGTAGCAGCATTGTGCTACTCTTCTACTAACTACCCCTCGCTCCCACCGCTGCTCCTCGTCTTCTTGCTGCAACTACTACGAAAACTACGACAACTGCTGTTGCTGCTACTACTACTACCACCACTACTTCTGCTAGTACGACTACTACGACAACTACTTCCACTACTACCACAACTACCACTACTACCAGCACGACCACTGCTACCACTACCACTAC